TAATGCAAAAAATTAACGTTATTTCAGTTAAAGTACCCTAAAATGCAGTCTTTTCAACCATAAAATTACAAAAGGAATAGTATGTATTAAAATCGGTGAGTAATTTTATTTAATAAACGATTTATGGAATGATCAATATATTGTAATACATTAAACTGACTTGTCGCTTGTTTTTTAACTTACACTGAAAGATCTTGCATGTATAGTACTACTGTTGACCTAGTACTGTTATCAGAAAGAACATTGACGTACTTGTTACTGGATCTTTTGGAATTTTTTTTTTAAGCTTGGGGTATTTATTTTGAACTCTCATATACCATGATTTTTTTTTTCTCACTTTAATAATAACAACTCTTCTACGTAAACATTGAAAATAACTTAAAGAGCAAGTTCACTTGGAAAAAAAAAAAGAATTCTTATGGGATGATTCATGATTTTTACACATAGACATAATAAAATGATGTAGACCGAAAGGTCCACTGATTAATCTCAGATAAGAAAGTATAATACATACTCCAAGTATTGAAATACACAATGGCGTGTATTTCAATACTTGGAGTATGTATTATACTTTCCTAAAATGATGTAGATGCCCTGGAGTATGGAAATCCCCTTCATTCCAAAAGTAATAAAAAAGTATAAACATAAAATAATCATAATAATAGAAATGTTATTGAAGAATTAAATTTATAATCTATGATTGATGTTCTTGGTTGGCATTGCTACAACATGTAAAACTGTTTTCTTCCAAAGCCCAGTTTGGGTGTTGAAATGGAAAAATACACGACATAGCCACCATTTTTTGTTTTCACCTGGGATAAACGACATTGTTGAAGTGGCCTGTGTAACATGTGTGTTCACATGAAAATACAAGCATTTTAAGACAACAGAGGTTAATTATAGATCAATATTGCTCAGTAAACAAAGACAATTTGGTAGTGCATACCATTACATGCTACTTAAAGGGAAAAAAAACATAATTTTTATGATATTTACCTAGTTATTATAGACGTACATCTTCAGTAACAGAGGTCCAGCAATATATGGTGGTATTGGAAATCCCCAAGTGCCCTGTTTGGTCTATAAATAAATACCTGAACATATTGTACTGTCTATTTGCCTTTTACGCTATTGCTGAAGAGGCCTCTGTAATTTCTTGAAAATTAAAGTGATTTCTGATCAATGATTACATAATTTGTTATATATTTATATTTATTTTTTTATTCCACTAACTTTGATAATTGCTTCCTGTATTTTGTTTTATTATGTAATTGACCTATATTACTTATAATATTGTATTTATGTTAAACTGATGAGTGAGTTTCACAGACTTTGTGTTACAGTGATTAAGTTTGCTTTTGTGTTCCTGCCGACTCATTCAATTTATTGTACTTGTATTCTGTATGTTTTTCACCATTGTATTGTACTTTGTGTTTTTTTGGTGAATAAAGAATAAGAATAAGAATAATAGATATTGAATCTTAAGAAGATACTTACATTTCATCAAATGGCGATATGGTGCGTGTATAGGAAACATGTCTATAATAATAACTATCAAATTATATTTAGAAAGAAGGAGCTGTAGGTGTTAGCTTACGCTCTAGCCCCAGTGACTTAGGTTAAAATCTTGTAAATGTTATTAATCTTGTAAGATTTTATTTAATCCCCAAGCCACAGGTGGGAAAAGTTTAAATGAATTAAAAACCCTATGTGTGTTGCCCATCAACCATCTTTGACTAGAAAACACCTTGTATTTTGTGGCCAGGCACCAATTATCTGTAAAAAGTAATAGTAAAACTAAGTATAAAGTGGCCATAAAACAGTGTATGAAGGTTTTTGGAAGCGCACTGAAACATCAACATTTGGGTGCGGCCCTTGGGGTTGAATGAAAGATTCACTTTGGCCCTCCGACCAATTTTAATGCCCACCCTGCCCCAAGGCCTAGCGCGTTAACCCCTATAGCATTCTGGGCCAAAAGAGAATTAGTTATTAATTAATTATAAATTATTATTATAAAAATTTATATATATATATATTACTGTTTGTTCCATTCCTGTCTTTTGATTAACCAAAAAAAAAAAAATTATTAAATGTCAACGTGCCAATTGACCTGTTTGACTTAACTATTTTCAGTGGTGTTTGTTATCATGGTGCAATGTCAGCATTACTTTTATATTTAATGTTAATAGAGGTAGAATTTAATATTTTTACCTAGCTGTAGATTGATCAATAAATATCATATAATCAGTGTTGGATTTATGGCAATTTTTCATGCAAGTGCCTTATAATATTTTTTGTTGGCTGACAAAAAAATAACATCATGTGCATATTTACAATTAAAGACTTTTTATATTTTGTTAAAGCAAACTTTTTTTTCTTCAGAGAAAATTTGAATATTTATGATTTTGTTTTCCTAATTTAATGCAAAAAGCATTAAAGGAGGTGATAAATCAAAAATAAAATTTGATTAACAAATAAATAATAAAGTATGTGGAGGTAAAATAAGTAAAGCAGAGTGTCTTTACTGTGGGCTCTTCCTCAAGATCCTATCACACGATTGTTTAATACAAGATGTTGCAATGAAAAAAATCTAGTATTTGGATTGTTATATACTTAATATTTATTTAACTGAACGATTTTTTTTTTTAAATCTTGGTGATGGTTGCTTTTTCTTTTTGTTGGTTGAAATTTAATAAATTCATCTGCATGTTTTAAATGTGGTCTCCATCCTATTGTAGACATCTATATTCACGAAGAGTTACTGTAGTATGTACTGTCACCTTTTCTAAAGCAATTTTTTATCTTTTCTTTTATTTGTAATAACCATATAATTCATTTTTGTTTTAACTTGTAATTGAATTTTAGCAATTGTAATAATTGTATTTTTATACTGCATATATTAATGAATGACATTAATATATACTGAATTTTTGATGTATTTCTCTATTTTGCTATAATTTTTTAATGAAATGTTGTCATAATTTGTTTTGAGTCATTTTGCACTTGTCCTAATTGTTTTGTTAAGCATTTGCCAATGCAAGATTAATTTCCTTATTTGTATTTTCTGAGAAGGAAAGTGATTACCTATGTATCTAAATATTTTTTGTTAGGAAGTAATAGTCTTTTTTCCTACTATGATACATGGTTATTTACTAGCCTTCAACCAGTTTCATTAAAATCAAAACAAATACGCGTGAACAGTGTTACTTCAACTTTAACCCAGATTCTTGAATCACTCTGAAATCTTTAAACTGGTTGACATTATCAGCCATTCTTAGCAAATAAAGATTGTTTTTTAGGTATTTTTTTGTTTTTGAATATAGTTATTCTTTCTTATTTATTATTTTGAATGAAGGTCTCAAGAATAAGTCAGTGACAGATTCAAGAGGGTGCATGAAAATATGTAGTTGGTGCTAATCTTCTAATCCTATGAGTTCTGGGATCAATTTAAATAAGAAAGTTAGAAACAAAAATACTGAATTTAATGGTTCAAGTTTATTAGTTCACATAAAAAATAGACATCTTTATATAAATAACAAAATTTGTATGCCACAATCCATCAAGGTCGTATGCTTTTTTATGTATTTTTATTTATATCAGTATATAAATGTTAAAATGAGAGATATTGGAAGCCTGCGGTATGTCCACACTATCAAATTTTCTTTGTTGTATGCCCATATATAGTCATGATGTGCCTATATATGGTTATGATGTGATGTCATCATGACCATATTTAGGCATGTCACATGTTGTGTCAAATAAAATTTGATAGTCTGGACAGGGCTTTACAATCAAACCTGAATGCAAATACTTTAAGGCTCTGTCCATACTATTAAATTTTATGTCACAAATTTGTGTGATCTGCCCAAATATGGGCATGCTGATGATGTCATATTCTTCAGTAAAATTTATTCAAATCGAAATATTAATAGTTATAAATTACGATTTAGGAATCAGATTAGAAGTTAAAAACTTCTAAAATGACCCCTTAACAAAAGAGAAAGTTACCTATATAAAATAACATTTGTTAAATAAGTATATAAATAAACAACATGCAAATTATGTTTCTCTTAATTTAAAATTTTGTCAAATGAACAGTGTAGAACCATGGAGGTATTATTGAGAAGGAGATCACTCAGCAACAGATCCCTTTGACGCGACAAACCCATGTGTTCCCCGCCTTTGGATCGCGCGCGGGCGTATTACCCTATAATTCACATTTTTTCGTTAGCAACAACTTGGCAACGACATGCATTTATACGCTTCCAGCAGAGCAGTTGTGCAATACAGCGTTTGATTTTAACCCATTAAATATCTTTATAATGAACAATGTTCCCCTGATTAGATTTTTATGGACTTTTGGTATGTTATTATTTGTATATTTCAGGAACGGATTCCGTAAAATATTTATTTTAAAATTACTTCTGTGTTCATTATAATTTTGTCTAAAGATCGATTGGTTTGACTATAAAGCTAAGTCAGCGTAAAACTGAAAAATACTCAAATTTTTGGATTGATTTTTCGAATAGTTAACCCTCGTTAACCCTAAAATGACTTAGTTTATTATAATCCTCAATCATTTATTAATTAATATCTGTAAAAATTAGAATAAGCGAATTTTGGCCAATTTATGAAAATTGAAGTTGAAATATACTATACTTTTAAAGGTCATGTAAATGTTTCATTAAATTCAAAACTTTTTTTGGTGGAAAATATTAATATGTTTGATATTTTATGAGAGATAAATGTATCAGCTTCACAATTGAAACAATTGCGCAGCCAGAGTGATTGACTGTATGTAGTGCGCATCGAGAAAAGAAGGTGCTCTCCATTTCGCTATGTTCAATTTTTTGATAAACTATACCTGCTGAAAATTTGATGGCGGGGAACACATGGGACTTCTAAGGCATCGCGCAAACATTCTTCACGCACTGCGGCAGCTTTGATCTTGGTTCATTTGCATAGCGCTGCGTGCGCTTAGCTTTTTCGAGTGATCTCCTTCTCAATAATACCTCCATGGTAGAACATGTGATTTAAATTATATCTGCATAATTTGAAAGATATTCTTTTATTTAAGTTTTTCTGAATAAAAGTAAATTATTGCCGCTATTGATTTCATCTGTAATTTCGTTCCATAATTCCATATTATACTTAATTATGGGCTTATTTCATTTGTCACCTAAAATATCATAGTGTGGACAGCTTAACATAACAATATGACTAAAAAAAGTTGGTCTGTCCTTCACAGCATTGTTCATTTGTTTTTAAAAAATTTGTCACGATATAAATATATAATGACCAGGGGCGTGACTAAAGATGACATGGACTAAAGCCCAACACAACAAGTAATCATCTCTAAACCCCTGGTCAATAACAATACGATAAAATATCATAAAAAATATAAGGGGAAAGAAAGATTAAAGATAAAATTGTTTTATTGTTGTATAACAATCTTGAGATTTCTTGTAAATATAATTTAATTCAGGTAGGCCTATATTAGCATTTTAACATCTGCTTAAATATATAGGGCTTGATTGCAAGCATTATTGTACGGGTGGCAAATCATATTCGTTTAAATTTTAGTAAACATAAATATAAAAAATAATTATTTAACAATTCTTCAATGAAACTACTGTGTGTTTGCTGACCCATAGAGATATGTATGACCTAGTTGATGTCCATTATACCTTTAAATATGCATGGAGGAATAAACTATTTAATTCCTCCATGCTCTATGATGGACATTCACCATCATTTGGGAAAAAGTTCATTCTTTTGTACAATATTGCTCATGTGAGCTTTAAAAATCTTAGTATGTCAGTATAATTTCAAAGAGAGAAGGGCACCTTTTCCCTGCTGAATTCACCTCATGATGGTGCTAAACTACGGTCCCAGGGATTAGCCCATAATAATTCCTAATAGTAAATCTTAATGTAAGGAAGATCTTAAAGTTGATTTATTGTTACATGTCCGATTAATAATGAATTTGGATTTGAACGATTAATGTAAAACTAACAGGCACGAAATAGAATGGATTATTACAAACAATGAAAACTTTTAATAAGACCACCCCATACTTTATGCCAAACTTTACATACTCAGGGTATGACTTGAATAACCAGTAAAGCCCAGTTGAAATTTTTCAGATACAGTGTCACCCTGTACTTTAATAACAAATTAATGGTTGGCTTTATATGGACCTTCCACTAAGTCTTACCCCTTGAATGTTATAGGTAAGGTCCCACAAAACAATTAGCGTAATGTTTATTTTGCTGGATAAAATTTATGCCAATATTTTTTTATGGTTTATAAAAATTTAAAGTAATGCATGCATTTGTTTCTGACAAATTTTTTTTTGGATGAAATTTTGTCAGTTATGGGCCCATTTAAGCAAAGGATTCGTCTAAATCTATATCTAGTACTAGTTTACTTATTTCAGCTTGAAGATCAACACTTATTGGTTTGTTATCATCATCCTGATCTTCTGAAGGCTTCAGTAATTCTAGAATACTTTTTTTAGCATTTTTAATTTTTTCCCGACATTCTAGTTTGACTTCATAAAGTTGCTTCTGTAAACATTCATTTTGGGCTTTCAAAACTGAGCTTCTTGAGCACAACACTGTCTCTTCTGTACATATACATTCTCTTGCCCGGCAGTCTGTTGCAACAGCTTTGTTACACTGATCCAAGTTCACTAGCTCTTGTAGGAGCAGGTCTTTGTCTTCCTTGGTGATCTTGAAACTACCATCAGGTAGGGGATGGCAGGAATCATTTAGAAAGTCTTTGAGATCTTGTTTCTTTTTCGTGATAACCTTTTCTATGTTTAGGTCAGGATCAGCTACTTTAACAATTCTTCCTAAAAATTAAACAGAAAATTATTATAGACATATTTCATTGTTTTACTACTACCAAATTCCCACGTTCATATCTACATTGTCTTTTTATTTTTATTTACTATCTATTAATTACTCTATTATTGTATTCAATTCATGCTCTATGTATACTTTCGTGCCTTTGGTCATTTATTTTGAAGTTGCATAATAATTTTATTATTATTATTATTATTATTATTATTATTATTATTATTATTGTTATTATTATTATTATTATTATAAGATTGTAATACCTTACTGTTATCACATCATCATTATTATCATTATGTCAATCATCATCATCTTTATAATCATCATCATGATGACCATCCCCATTCCCATAATCATCATCAGTGGTTGTTCCAGAAATTAGATTTTTTGTCCGATGACCTCATGTGGTGCCTCAATTATCCTCACAATCATTATATAATCATCATCACCATTATTATAATAATAATAATACTCAAACATTTATAAGGCGCCAATTTCAAATTGAATGATCGAAGGCACGAGCGTTATTACCCCTGGTCACTGGATAATGTACAATGGCAAGCCAGCACAAAGTGCAACTTTCTCTGCTCCCTGGGGAGCATCCCTAGTTGTTTGCTACTTCTTTAGCGCACAAAACTAGAACATTCAATGCCACAACATCCTACCAGGTACCCATTTATACTCCTGGGAGAGAGAGACAAACGTAGATAAAGTGCCTTGCCAAAGATACAAGCGACTTGCACAGCGAGAGTTTTGAACCCCTGACCTCAAGGTTGGGAGTCCAAGCCACAGTCGATGCGCCAACCACTTCTCATCCTCCCCACCAAATTCCCCAACCCAATTCTAACTACTAAGATTACGACAACCATTATCATAATCATCATCACAACCCATTATAAATTTAACGTTACTATGTCTGGTACTCTCCACTTATTCTTTTCTCATTGATTCTTTTTCTACTGACTAATTCTCCACTAACCTTTTCCTTCATCATTCTTGTTGAGTATCTCCAAAAGGTGTGGCTTATTTACCATGCCCAGTGCATCTTTAAAAAGGCAGAATGCATTTGGTCCTTTCTGTTCTAGTCCATCTAATAAAAATGTCATAGGGTGATCTGTCGCATCTCCAATTGAACGACGTTTTATAGTTTGAAGCTCATTTGGGGTGAACAAACCAACCTGGATCAGGGGGTTAACGAGTTCCTCTATTGTCAGATCCTCACAAAAATTAACCCTACAGCGACGGAGAGTTTCCTTGTCCTTCACATCCATACCATTAATATTCATCTCAGTACTCAGTCTGAACTGAAATTATATTTTAAATAAAGGATATACTGTTTTTATTGATTGAGTCTGATTAGGACTCAGTTTCAGATTCACATAGAACAGTACATGAAATTTCCTGACTTGTAATATACACACATACCAGTAAAAGTCATTAAAATATTTTAGTATTATAAGATTAAAAATATTATATAAAAAAGGTAAGAGTGACACTGTAAAACACAGAGATTCTCAGTTGGATTTCACAATCTTACGAAAATGATAACGCATATGAATACGTCATTATCATTAATATTGTCATTCATGTCTCAAACATTCTTGCCAATATGCTGTATGAGCTACATATAATCCTTGGCTCTTGCAAACGGCATGAATCGCCTACGTAATTGTGACAAATACGTTATTGTAGGGTAAGGGTTGTCTACAAATTTGATGACGTAACCATATTCGTTGTTGTTTTCGTAAACTTGCAAAACTACAAATATACAGTATATAAAAGGTATATAAAATGGATTAATGTAACTATAGAAATTGTTGAATGTTAAAACCAAATAGAACTACGAAAACCATTTATAAACTTGTACCTATATTAAAATTGCAAGTATACATATTTTAATCACCTTTCTAAAGTTGACAGAATGAAAAAAAAAATTTTCATCCATCATTAATTTTGTACATGTTCTACATGTATAACCAATATAGACGACCATTATAACTATATAGTAAGTTAGATTATTGAAGATCATTGTTTGAAAACAAGCCATGAACCATTCCATCCATCATGTAATATGATCGCCTTTAACTTCCTGTCCTGAAATTCATCGACCCTGCCCAAACGGGAAGTGTCAAAGTTCATAAGGCTTCCCTGGGCCGACTTAAAATAACAACTGGGAGCCGAAAATTTGTTTAAATCGGCTCTGAGTCGGCTGCATTTAAGGCGTATTAAAATATTCTTCAAATAGGAGGAAATTTACCCGAAGAAATGCACTCTGCACTAAAGTGAATGTACCACAAAGTCTCTATACATACAGCCTGTTTGTATTACATATTTTAGTTAACAATTTCAAAGGTAGATTTTTATAAAACTATAATGATAATAAAGAAACGGAACCATAATGATAATCACTCACCTATGTCACAGTTAATATTTTATCCATCAACGACAACTTGGTATATACTGAAACTTGTTTTAAGCTTAAAAGTAATAATGATTTCCAGTTAAAAATGCTCTGATTAATAACCATACCAAAATTAACATCACAAAAGATAATTGTTGGTGATCACCATGTAGTACATTTATTAAAAGCATTACATTTTTGATAACCAACAGCTAAAGAACTACTGTATTTCCTGTTGATGTCAAAAGGCCATAATTTTATTTGCGGCTTGCCAATAAAATAAAATGTTCAGAGTTTCTGATTGGCTATTAGATGCACGATGTGTATACATTGTCTTGTACAAATATGCAGTATTGCAGGTATTTACTGCTCTATTAATCACATAACATTCAGGGCAATAACCAGACATCATGTGTTTTATTCCACAAGTAAATTGTAAGGCCTGTATTTTGTTTCACATAACTTGTGACTCCACAATAAAGACTGGACCAGGGGCTCTAAAAACGTTTGGCTGATGACCCAAACAAACATCCAGTAATTAGCTGTGACCCTCTTCCCGGAATGTTCAAAATTAAAATTTAAGTATTAATAAAATGTTTAAATGATATCGTGCATTCTCTTTACTAACAGCAAAATATAGCATTATATAAAATTGAAATTAAAGAAAGTGCTATTTATTTGATGACCCAATTCTTGGTTGCGACCCATAGCTTGAGAACTGCTGGACTAGACATTACCGTTTCAGCAAATCATTGAAATTTCAAACTGTAAAAAAAACTGAAACTCTTTGCCGGAAACAACCACTAGAATTTATAGACGATAAACTCTTCAAGTAAACACTTAACACCCACTCAATCAACTGAGTATATAATTATTACAATTCTTTTCTGATTTGCTCTGCTCGGTGGCGGATCCATGGAGGTTCAGGGGTTCGGACGAAC